ATCTTGACATGTGGATTACTAAATGCTGACTCAGTTCTGACAGTATTTGTTGATGGAAAGAATGTAAGTCCAGTGGGTATTCCCTATGTTGATGGTAGGGAGAGTACAGGAGGCAGTAGTGCTGAGGCTGCAGGAAGCACCAAGTTCTTCCTACCCGGGAAATGCAGTGCTGAACTCTCCACTTTATCAAGTAATATGTGTGGTCTATATGGCAGCACTGTGGAAACCATGAGCAATAATGTGAGTTTCTGACACTAGAAAATGTATTGTAAACCTACATCTCATACTCCTCACACAGGACCAACTGCAGTAAGTTTCATTTCTGTTTTCCTGTCCAACACAAGAGAAAACATCACCTATTTCCAGAGTGTAAACTGTACCCAAATCCTAACTTTGCAATACACCCCTCCAAGGAAGAGTCCCTCACAAATTGACACTGAAGATGCCTTGGCTTTGGAGGAGTCACCACCAACAGAGAATGTGAGGAAGCTTGTCCAGAAGAACAGTCAGAGACTGGCCCAGAAAGATTGTCCTTTCCTCAGTGCTTAGGGAAGGCAGCTGAAGTAGCAAGGAGGAGGAATTCTCTGATCCTCACTCTGAACATTTATCCTCACATTAGAGGGACAAGAAATCAATGTTTCAGCAAAAGGAAGATAGAATCACGTCTTGAATTTGTTGATAAATTCCGACACCTGAAGTAAACATCACCAAAAATTGAAAGGTACAAAAAGCCTATATACATGAAATAAGCCCATTTCATATTATGTTATAAAAGATGCACAGCAGTGGAAAGACATGTACACTAATATCATGTCTTAAGAGTGGACAGTTCATAGTTTACTGTATGTATATTAAGCATCACTAATCATCACATATGTAAATGTGATATCATTCAAGTTGTAAAAATTTATACATATATATGCACAGAAATATGTGCCTGTTAACAAATTTTAACACAGGTAATAATTTCATTTTAAGGTATGAAATTGGAGACATATATTTCTTTCCTCAGGTCTTAGCAGTTTTCATGTAGATATCACCTTACAATTTTATTAAATTCTAAAATGAAAAGGACACTTCTTATTCGTAAATTATTGCATAATCACCACATGTCCTTTCCAGTAAGAGACATCAGAGCACACTCTGACCAGTGTGGTTAAAGTAGGTTTCCTTTCTAGAAATCTTGTACCTTTCAGGGAAGAAATCCTCATGGTTTTTCCAGTATTTTGGATCATGATGAAGAGCAAATACTGGTACCACCAAAACTGTTCCTTTGGGAATGAACACTCCATTAATTTCAATATCTTTTTTACAGACCCTTGAGAGTCTGTTAGCAATTGGATATAACCTGAGAGTCTCATTCACCACCATGTCCAGGTACTCCATCTCTGCCAGAATATCATAGGTAGGAAATGCCTAGGAATGGAAAAAGTACATTTGATAAATTGAAATTTTTAAATTTACCTTCCCATATTTGCCTCTCTTTTCTTCTCTTCTTTCCTCCTCCATTGCTTCCTGTTCCTTGTCCCCATTCTTCTTCTATAAAATGGGAAAACTTTTTCCTTTTTGTTTGTTTGTTTGTTTGTTTGCCAGCTAATCCTCAGACTGAGGGCTAATACCCAGAATCTACTTTTTTTTCTCATTATTAACTTTATTGAAATGAATAATAATGATATAGAAAATTAAAAATTGTAGACAAATATTGAAATGTGAAAGATATGATGTAGACAGTGAATTTTAGAAAAATATTTCTGAAATGCATACATAACATGAGACTAATAATAGATTGCACATTGTAAAAAATTATTTTCAAGCTTAAATGAATATACAATAAAAATTGTCTAAAATAAACATGATGAAGAAAGTCATATAATAGTTCACTCTGTGCCAAAATCAAGAAACATATATTCATATAATTAGAATTCTCAAAGTAGGAGATAGGCAATAAATATTTCAAAATTTTAAATTTCTGAATTTAGTTAAAATTAAACAATATTCATAACATTGATTAAATATTGATTAATTAAAATTAAATTCAATATTTCAAAATAATGTTCAAAAAATTAAAATTGTGAGTCCAACTAAAAAGGCCAAAGTGTAGTGTATCATATATATGAATCTGTGATCAATTCAGAGTACTCATACAGTAGTTGATTAGGTTAATATAGACTAAAATATCAACTAAGAAAAAGTTTTCATGATAGTAAAGAATTACCAAGGATAAAACATAACAAAAATACTGGAATGGCAAATATATGAACAGCACTTCTAACAGTTTAGGGATAATATATCACACAAAGTTCTAGTATGTGGTGGACACGGACAGTGTCCATGATGCTTACTGGTGGCCAGGTGTCACTTGGGGGACTGGGTGACTATTTCCTTGATATTCACCATGTAGACCTGGACAGAATCATGACCCATAGGGTGTAGGAGAAGACCATTTGTAGATATGTAGATGGAAATATTTTGATGCTGTATACAAAAGAATAATTGAAAGACTGCTGTTGTATACCTCTTATTCTCCTGTGTTTGTTTGACCTATTTGATGGGTTCTTTCTATTCTCATGCATGGAGTTGTAGTCATTTGGATCACTCTCCAGAATATCTTTTAGTAGTCTGTGTAGGATTGGCTTCATTGTTATGAAATTCTTTAGTTGTTCTTTGTTATGGAAGTTTTCACTTCTTCATTAAACTTAAAAGAGTTGTGCACAGCATATCAGTCTGGGTTGAAATTTGTTTTTCTTGCAAGACTTGGAAGTACTTTGTTCCATGCTCTTCTTGACTTGATGGCTTGTTGAAGAGAAATCTGCCATTATTTTGATGGGTTTTCCTTTAAATGTTATCTGTTTCTTTTCTTTAGTGGATTTTAGTATACTGTTTCTGGGCTGAATTTCTGGGAACTTGATTATATGTCTGGGTATGGTTTCAATTAGGTTGATATTATTTGGAGTTCTATATGCTTCAGTTACTGGAATGTCAGATTGGTTGCCCAACATTTGGGAAGTTTACTGCTATTCTACCCATATTCTTTTTATATCATTTGCATTGAATCATTTATCTTTGATGCATGTTAGTTTCACCTTGTGCATCTTTACATCGTATTGTAAATGTTGAATTATTTTATCCTGCATCCTACTTTTTTTATTTTAAGGAGAAACAGATAGACATGACACAGTTTCAAAACAGATTAATAGAACAGTTTCAATATTTAATACATAGCATATTGTTATTTTCTTAGTGGTTATTCATAGTACAAGATGCAGACATGACATCGACATCCTGTTCAAATACTATTAGTAGAAACTTTTCTTATCATTGAATTAAGACAAAGTAGCTGTATATCTATCCTAACTATTTTGTAAATACAGATACAAAATAGTCATTCATTTGTATCCTATTTTTGTTTAGCTTTGTTAGAGATGGATATTCCATTGCCATTTAAATATTGTAGGTGCATGAATTCAGCAACATAATCCAATATAGTCCAATACTCCATAATAGTAGTAGGGGGTTATCCATAGGACTGGCAATGTCAAAAGTTGTTGACTTGAGCCTTTCACAGCTCAGCATATTAGTATGGCTTTACTTTTCATACCTCGTTTTTATACTTTTTGCTTGATTGTTAAGAACAAGATAAAGCAAGACCTATATAATAAGAAATGTAATTTTTGTATCTGACAAGGTCAGTCAATTCCCCTCAGGATTTATCCTGTAACCCTGTACCGCAGTTTGCAGATCTTTTGTCAGTGTCAGCCATGTAGATGAGTCTTGGCCATTATTTGACCAATTTTCTCTCTGTGAAAACCTGAGAGAATGTTTTCTCTCCATGTGACTCTCCTTAGGCACACTCTACATCACTGATCACGTTGCTCTGAGGCCCCATAATCTCTTTGAGCAGAAAATATGGGACACACCTGACTTACATAGTGCTATAGTATATGTTCTCCTCTGTCCTGAGTCTTCACTGATCTTGAAAGGCTAGGGCCAAAATGTTGGCTGTCCTTGCAGGCCTTCTATTTCTCTAATTTTTGGTCTGCAAACTTAGGTTGTTAACCCTCCAGAAGAGAAGCTTATCATTATCCTACAACATATGCAGTTGGGTTCAACCTCATTATCTGTCTGAATATCCAACATCTTAGGTATAACATGGAACAGGTCTTGATTCTTGGTCATCCCTTGGCTTCTTCACTTCTAACTCCAGGACTGAGGTTGAGGCCATCTAGGCAAATCTGAGTTAGTCTTTGTGGCTTAGCCAAAACCAGCTGCATTCAAAAAACAATCAGGCTACAGCATATAAAGCAGCATCAGAAGAGCTAGTTATCCCAAGCCTGAGTTATATATGGTCATAGTATTGTGATTTGAATATCCCACAGATATATACTAAAACATTAGGTTTTCAGTGACTGCTTCTGTGTTTCCAAGACAAACAAGCATTTCTAATAAATGATAACTTGAGGAATGAGCCACGTCTTGCAATACAAGTAGTACATGATGCCAGATGTGACATGATTCCTCTCTCTCTCTCTCTCACACACACACACACACAGAGAGAGAGAGAGAGAGAGAGAGAGAGAGAGAGAGAGAGAGAGAGAGAGAAATAGCACTGTGGGTGATGTTCCGTCAACAGAAATAGGTTGAGATCTTCTTTGCAAATAAGAATGAGAACTATATGGAGAAATACTTTACTTAATATTAGATTAGTGAGATATGTAAAATGTGAGAAACAATGAAAAACTGTATCAAATTAACACCTGAATAATGCTGTAATAGTGGAAGTGATGAACCTGTGTAATGGCAATGCAATTTCACATTTCTACAAAATCTTCAAAAGGAGTCAAAGGATGTATCATTAGATAGGTTCCTTGTTAAAGGAACAAAAAGTTAAAGAGTCTATGAAGCCAATAGATAACATTGATTATGTTAATGACAGTGAAAGTTATCTTGTAAAATAATCCTTGTCACTTTTGTCTCTCCCATGCCAGCCATGAAGGTCTTCAAAGAAAGCACAGGTGAAATCATTCATTGGTTTTTATAGCTTTCCTATTATGTATTATGTCTTAATATTATAATCATTTTATATAAACATATTTGGGTTGTAGAAAGAATAATGTGAGTTTCATTAGTTCTTATGGAGAAATTCACTTTTATTTTCATGTTCATTAGATTGCATGCATGTTTCTACAATGAAATATCCTTTAAGCCAATATTTTACTGCATATACTTAGAATTAACGTTATTCTAGGTAATGTATACAGCAACACTAGCACTGGTTTATGAGAACTTATATTTTAGTAATAACATGCATCACTGGTGTTTGTCCATGTGTTTCTCTCTTGAAATTTAACATAAATGGTGCTGGTAAAAACAAATCATTGCCCGCATGTTTTTGGTGAAAATTTCTCCTAGAAAATCGTTCTGCTTAAGGGTTGATGTTTTGCCTCCTTCTCACATTAACATCTACCCACCTTATTGGGCAAAGCTGCATCAATCTCCTGTTGCAGTTTCTTCTGGATGTCAGGGTGAGTGGCCAATTCATACATAATGAAGGAAAGAGTACTGCTAGTTGTCTCATATCCAGCAAAGATAAAAGAAATTGATTGAACTGTAATCTCTACATCAGATAGAGCTGAAAGGAGAGAAAAGACTTTCAGGTAAATTAGATCTTACTAGTGCAGATTAGGAGAGATCCATATAAAGCTGCCAAAATGTTATGGAAGAACTTGGGAAAGAAATTCTGAGTCACACTCTGATGTATATCTTACAAACCAGAAAAAGACAAAATAATTTCAATCTACCATTCCAAGGTTAACTCTACTCTTGGTAATCTGCTTCCCATTAGGCCATTAGTTTCACCATTAAGCTAGATAATTTCAAGACATGAAATTTTAATCACATGTAATGTTACTATACACCTTGGAAAATCATAATTTAGCTCTAAATAAAATATGGGATCTTTCTCCTAAAAAAAGTAAAAATTCTTAGCAAAACATGGCTTGAAAATTTTCAAGAGTTTCTCATATGGAGGCGTCACTCTATGTAAAGTTAAAAGATCTTAATCATGTGTGAGACAATTCATGAAACCATAGTAGGCTACAAAGAAATTCTTGCAACTCAGCATGTGTTCTCTATGGGCTACAACCATCTGGGAGCTAATTAGGTATGTGGAAGCTAAAATTCCATCCTACAACTACTAAAATAATAATTATGGACCTTTTAAAAATGTGTTGTTTTGTGTTACAGCTTGATGAGACACAAGGTAGTGGAGTGCCACAGGCAACAGCCTTAATAATGGATTATTGTACAATGCAATAAGATTGGCCTCAGTCTAATGGATGGCATTAAAGTAGTAGAAGGATTTGGGAGGACAGGGATAAAAATGTCAACCAATGAGTTACATTAGCAGAATTTATTTGAAGTACAACCACTATCTCTCTAATTTAATCTCATTCAATAGGTTTATGAGAAGGCATTGGCCTCCCTTTTGATTTTATCATGACATAGGGTCACCACCATCATGAAATAGTCTATCTGTTCATTTTTTTAGTTCCTTTTTGTACCTGGAATGGTGAAAGAAATATGTTGCCCACCCACTCATACACTTAAAAATTAAAACTCATACAAAACACATATTTGAAAGGTTTACCAAGTTTTGATTTCTAATTTGATGGCTTGTATGCTGCAATGGTAGGGAAAAGCAACAAATCAAATATGTCTTTCTGTGTAGTACACCTGTGTTATTGAATTGAGACTGGTTTGTATACTCAAAAATTTCAGTACTGCTGTGCACTGTGGTTATATGCAACAATGTGGCAAATTGAATTGAAATAGAAATACATTAAAATTGTATCTTAGAATGCTAGGATAAGAAAGAATATAGAGGTGTGTTAAATAACCTTCAGGGCCTGTGGGATGAGGGAAAAGAAAACAGGGCAACAATAGCTATGGGAGGAACCAAAAACACTTGGAACTCAAGTACACCCTGTTTTTGTGTTCTTGCTCCCAGATGCTTAGCAGGTTTTCACATACAGCCTAAACATTAATCTTGGACACATACGATGGGATCTTGTTATGTTCATCTAAAGTAACCCAAAGGCCAAAACTCAAGATATATAAAAATAAAGGCAGAAGGCAGCAACAGCAACCTGTTTGTTTGAGCCCTTGCTTTGCTGACATTGAGTGTCCCTGTGTCTTTGTTTGTGGCCGGTGCCTGTGAATCTTTCCCAGAATTAGAATTCATTAGTTCAATGGCACCAGCCAGGACAATAATTGAATTGTCTTACAACCATTTTACATATTATAACAAGAATTTCTTCAGAAATAGCTTTGATAAACCAAAAGGGGGAAGGAGGGAGGGAGGGAGGGACAGAGGGAGGGAGGGAGAGAGAGAGAGAGGGAGATTAAGAAGGAGAGAAAAACAGACAGACAGACAGAGAAAGACAGACATATGGAGAGAGGGCAAGAGAGACAGAGATACACGGACAGAAAAAAAAGACAGAATGTCAGACTGAGAATGTTACAGGGATAAAAAGGAAAGAATCAAATGTATATGTTGATGTATATGTAATGGTGATCCCTTTTGCTCTAGAACACACTGCTAAACATTCAGGAGTTTTGTAGAAGTCATCAAACTGTGGCAAGCTTAAAACTGATCATGATAGAGTTATTGTAATTACATCAAAGTAGTAATTTATTCATCAGAAATTTGCAATTTGAGGATGACAGAGGAGTAAGGCATTTTATATTACCATATATGAAAAATCATAAAAATACTACTTGGAAATATTTTTCATATTCTTTACCTTTGTCCAAGTAGAATGTGAAAGAAAACCAAAATCTCAGTAGATATTACCACAGTACTGCATTATTTTGGATTCTACCTGACATTTTTTGCTGCAAGTTAGCAGACATCCTTGCAAAAACAGCTGATACTAGCACTCTCTGGGACAATAGAAACAAAACCTGAAATATCTGCCAGTAGACAAGATATTATATAGAAAATAGTATTATAAACAAATACACAATTTTATGGATATTATAATAATTTAGGGGGATGCATGTCATTGTATGTTGGTCAAAACAAAATTTACAAAGCTGGTAATGAACCCAGTTGCAAAGTAGGGACAGTGGTGATAATATCATTCTCAGCTGATTGATTCTGACATGTATCACTGAGGTGAAGAACATGAAAACAGAGTTAATGCATAAATGATTTGAAAACTATATAGGAAATCTATACACTTTCTCCTTAATGGCCTAAGAAACAAACACTGCTTTTAAAAGTTTAATGTGTGAAATGTACCTAGTAGACTACTTAAAAGGAATCTGAGGGAATGAAAAATATAAATTTAAACAGCAAAAGGATGAGAAAACTTGAGGATTTGGATATAAGACCATGCTGATATGAATAAGTGTGTAAATATACTTTAATACAGCATGAAAAACTGAAGACTCTACTTACATTGGGTGATAACATATCACTGTAGAAGAAATTATTTAACTTAAAAGTCATCATTTTTTCATAATTTTCACTATAATGCTTTTAGTCAAAATTATCTGTGGATAATAATACCAATATGCCAAACAAAGTATGAAGAAGAAAGGAATGTTTCCAGGGTCAAAAAGATTTCTCCAGGACCCACTCATTTTGGAGAAAAGGAAAAATAAGGCTTCATTCTATCTTGATCCAAGGAACAATCTCGCCAAATCTTCCTAGTGAACATAGTAACATATTAAAGTGTTTCTCTGATGGATGGATTTGTAGATGCACATTTCAAAGGAGACATTCTGATTTATTGGATGTAAGGTTGAGAATCATCCTTTGTTCAGATGTAGGTGAAGCAAGACTTTCATGAATTCCACCCATGAGATGTTTGCTTGTGACTGCCCTCAAGGTTTGAATGTACTTAGGTCTGTGCTCACCACAAAGTGCATGTGGCTCTCATAAGTAATATGCAAATGTGTGTTTTCAGTCATTTGGGAGAAATCATCCTCTGCCTGCAAACTTTCCTACACAATTGTAGAATGGGCTTTGTCTCTCAGATTCCTCTCCCATAGGCCATAAAATATTGTTGCTTACCTTTATAAGACTCTGTCTCTTTGGAATTCTGGGAATTAATCATCAGCTGAATAAAATCTGTCTGATGCTTTAAGATAAAAGAAAATATTAAAAAAAAACAGATCAACCTAAAGTTAATAGTAACTCAAGACGTAACCTGCTTTAATTTCTTTTTTTTTTTTTTCAAAGTTTTATTGACAAAGAGATAGCAATGAGACAGTTTCAAATCAAATCGGAAGGACAGTTTCAACAAATAATACACTGCATATATTCTTCTTAGTGGTTAATTGCTGTACAAGATGCGGACTTGTGATCCTATTCACAAACACCATTAGAACAAATCATTCTATTCATTAAGAGAATGCAACTATATATCTATCCCAACCTCTTTGAATACACAGATACAAAATGGACATTCATCGGTATACCCCATTTTTTCTAAGTTACATTATTGAATATTATAGGTGTGTAAACTCAGCAAAATATTCTAAAAGAGTCCAGTAGCCTATAATAGCATTGGGTCTTATATTTAACTGGCAATGTCAGAAATTATTGACCTGAGTCCCCCACAGCTCAACTTAACAGCATGGCTTTATTTTTTATATTTCGACTTCATACTTTTCTACTGGATGGTTAAGACCAAGGTAAACCTGCTTTAATTTCTTAGGGATCTTTCAAGTCCTGAAGTTTGGTTTAAGGTTACCATTAAACTCTAAATCTTGGAGACCCTGATTTTCCTCTGTGTAAAAACCAGCTATTGTGTCCAGTGGTGTTTGTATTCTCTCTCCCCAGTCTTGAGTTTCTCTTTCTTTCTTCACACAGCTTCTTGGTTGGGAAGTTCCCTGCTCCTCCTAACAGATCTACTTGCTGAGTATGCAATCCCACATTTCAAGACTTCGAATACTCCTGCTGTAATTCTTCACCAGTGGTCCTTTTGATTAATTCACTGCCATAAAGCCATCCCCGAGGCAGAGAAAACCATCTTGAAGTACGATTTTGGAATGCAGTACAATTCTCAGTGGCACGTGATATATATGCAGTCCTGCTTTCTGATCCTCAGACTCACAAGCCACATAAAGACTAAGCTGAATTTCTTCCCTGTATCCCCAAACCTAGGGAAGTATCCTGACTACTGCAGGACAGGAAAGATGCAAATTTAACATGTGGCAAGCTGCAATGGTAACTATTTCCATTGGACAATGTGTTTAACAAGTGGTGTGGATTTGAAATAATTCTCTGCCAATATTTCCTGAAATTTTATCCTATTATGAACTATGATAGGCTTTTTGAGTGAACAAGACCATATGCTGGTGATGTAAAAATGCATGTGTTGTTGAACAAAGATTGCTAAGAATAGAACCAATATAAGATCCGGGGATTATAGCACCAGTATATATAATTGGTAAGCACTAACATTTTCTTCCCACAGTTTACTGAAAGAAAGGGTCACATGTTTATCTTTAGAATATGTTTGCCAGAGGATACTAATTCTTATATTTTCTTTTCAGTGTTAAACTATTTCTCTGACTCCCTATCATCATAACTTCCTGAACTTCATATTCTTCACAGCCATCCACACAAAAAATGAATCACCTGCATTTACCTTCAAAAAAACAGAAGGAAGTACACTGATCTTAACCATACAGCCTAAAACATTACCAAATGTCAACATGGTTATTTTATCACCACCCCTTTTTACCTTCTGGTTCATGTCTAGGCGATTTTTTCTTACTCTTCTTACAAAGTTTATGAAAAATTGTTTAGATTCTTTTGCAAACACAGACAAATTTAACATCTCAAATATTGGGACACAGAATGAAAAGAGAACTGAAAGACAAAGAAAAAAATAATGAAAATTTAAAGTGTGATTTCTTTACTTACTATTCTGGAGTCAACCAAAGAATAGAAGACATTATTGTCACCAGAAGCCATTTCTTCTGTTACTTTTGCTTGAGATCCTCCAAGACGCTTGTTCAGCTGGAATCCATATCACAGAGTCACTATCATGCTAAGAATAGTGTCCCTTTCTATAACTTTAGAGAGACCAAAGATGGTTGATTAAATTTCCCGAAATTTTATCCTATTGTGAACTGTGATAGGTTTTTTTCTTCCATGCTTAGAATCTCTTACCTTCTCCAAATTTACTACCTGTAAATTATTAGAATTCTGTATCCTCTTTTTTTTGTTAGGTTCCATTATTTGAATATTATAGATGTGTAAGCTCAGCAAAATATTCTAAAAGAGTCCAGTAGCCATAATAGTATTGGGTCTTCTGCTTGACTGGCAATGTCAGAAATTTTTGCCCTGAGTCCCCTACAGCTCAACAAAACAGCATTAACAAAAAAAGGGGATACAGATGAATGTCCATTTTGTATCTGTGTATTCAAATTAGTTAGGATAGATATATAGTTACATTCTCTTAATGAATAGAGGGATTTATTCTAATGGTGTTTGTAAATAGGATATCATGTCTGTATCTTGTACAGCAATTAACCACTAGGAAGAATGTATGCAGTGTGTTAATTGTTGAAACTGTCCTACCAATTTGGTTTGAAACTGTTTCAGTGCTATTTGTTTCTCAATACAATTATAGAAAAAAAGTGTTAAGTAAAAAAGATCTAAAGGAAAACTTTCATAAGTATAGCATCATAAAATAGTTTAATAAATAACTGAAGTTATAAAAATAAAGAATTCAATCCATGTAAAAGAAAAGTAAGGAGCAGCCTGATAGCTCAGTTGACTAAACACCTGCTTAGGCAGAGTGCAGCGGCAGACTGGGGTTTGATCCCTGGCATGCCTTGCCAGCCCCCTCCTCCCCAGGGCATGCTGAGACAGCAATTGAGACTGGGTGTGGTGGTACATGCCTGTAATGCTAGCACTTGGGAGGCTGAAAACAGGAGAATCACTCTGAGTCCAATCTATGTAGTGAGACCCTGTAGAGCCTTTCCTAAATACAGGAAAAAAAAAAAAAAAGAAAAGAAAAAGAAAATGAAAATGAAAAGAAACTTCAAGGGTCAAGTATCAATTTTGTTGTAGTAAGTAAAATTGAAGATACGCAGATCCCACTTCCTAGACTGTGAACAAACAGTTCTCAGAGGGAAGTGCATAGTTACATTGTTTTACAAATTGCCAATGAATATACAAACGTTATAAATTCAAAATTGCATCAGGCAAACAATATTCAAAATAGCATCATGTGTCACTATGAAAGTGACAAGAGCATAAACTCTTTTTCTTATTTAAATTTTTTTATTTAAATTTTTTAATAGATTGCAAATTGAAAATAAATTATTTACAAACATAAATGAATATAACAATAAAAATTGTCCTAAATAAAAATGAAGAAAGAATTTACAGATTAGTCATAATAGTTCACTGTGTCCAAACCAAGAAACTTATATTCATATAACTAGATTCTCAAAGTAGAAAGGAGTAGTCAATAAATAATTAAAGATTTAAATTTTCTGAATTTAATTTAACTTATAATACAATTCCAAGAAAAATTAACCTTTTGCAAAAGAAATTTAAATAAAATCATACCAAGATACACAAAAATGAAATCATCCAAAACTTATTGTAAAGAAAAAATCATTAAAGCATATACATCAAAAATGTTAGCTATAGGAGAACAAAATTAAATATTATTTTGCATCTTATTCCACATTAGAAAGAAAAGAAAGGACCAAATATGTAAGAAACTAGACTAATTACAGGACTGAAAGAAAATATCTGTCCTATATAAATTTTATACTTAGCAAACATATCTTTGAAAACTAAAAGTAAGATTTTCTAGTTATACAAACTTGAAATATTTTAATACCTCCAGAAGTACCATATAGGAAATAACAAAGAGCATAACTCAAAAGGCATGAAAGTTGCTGTATGCTCCCGGATGAACAATAAAGAAAGAGCATGAACTTGAAAGCAGAAAGAAGAGATTAAATTTTAAACTACTGAAATAAATAATAAGATTTACAAATGTCAATAAGATTAAAAGCTATTTAAAAATCATCAAAATGGGAAAATGTTACTTAGACTGAATAAGATAACAAGAAAGCTAAAATAACTAGCTGATATTTATGATGAGGACCACAGTTTCTTCTGATAGTTTTAAAACTAAAAAAATTATTACATGGAACTTTATAAATCTATTATTATTTTTTGTCTATTTTTCCCATAATTTTATTGATAAACAAATAGCAAAATGACAGTTTCAAATCAAATTGGTAGGACAGTTTTATTAATTAACACATTGCATGCATTCTTCCTAGTGGTTAATTGCTGTACAAAATGCGGACATGATGTCCTATTTACAAACACCGTTAGAACAAATCACTCTATTCATTAAGAGAATGTAACTATATATCCATCCTAACTACTTTGAATACACAGAAACAAAATGGACATTCATCTGTATACCCTTTCTTTGTTAAGTTCCGTTATTAAATATTATGGGTGTGTAAACTCAGCAAAATATTCTAGACGAGTCCAGTAGCCCATAACAGTATTGGGTCTTCCGTTTGACTGGCAATGTCAGAAATTGTTGACCTGAGTCCCTACACCTCAACATAAGTGCATGGCTTTACTTCTTATATTTCGTTTTTATACTTTTCTGCTGGATGATTAAGACCAAGGTAAAGCAGGACCTATGCAAGAAGAGTTCTAGCTTTTGGGTCTGATAAAGTCAGTGAAATCCCCTCAGGATTTATCCTGAGATCCTGTATCTCAGATAATAGAACGTTTGTCAGTGTCAGCCATGTGGATGAGTCACGGCCATTTCTTGGCCAATGTTCTCTCTGTGAAAGCCTGAGAGAATGTTGTATCTTCATGTGACTCTCCTTAGGCACACTCTACACCATCAATCACTTTACTCTTTGGACCCATATTCTCCTTGATCACAAAATTTGGGAAACTACTGAGTTACATGATGTTACAGTACACATTCTCATATGTCCTGAGTCTTAATTGACTTAGAAGGCTAGGGCCAAAATGTTGGCTTTCCTTGCAGCCCTCCTTTTTCTCTAATTTTGGTCTGCAAACTTAGGTTGTTAACCATCCAGAAGACAAGCTTATTGTTATTACCATACAACTTAGGCTGTTAAGCTTAACCTCACTATCTGTCTGCATATGAAACATCTTAGGCATAATATGGAACAGGTATTTTTCACCAAGTATTGATATGTTGAACTTTAAGTCCATACAGAATATGCTAAAAAACATTTCAAAATTAGAATATATTTTAAAAATAGGCATAAAGAATTATATACTTCTTATGTTTACACGTAAGTCCAGAAATCTAACCATATACAACCTTGAAGCAGGAAAATCCCACACTATTCCTTTTCCTGTCTATTGCTTTAATTCACCACCCCCTGTTTTTGAACAAACTCTTACCCGAGAGACATCATAGCAGCAACTGGCATGTCATGAGAAGCAGCCCATATTCAGAAGACCAGAATGATAGGCACTCCAAGCATGAAACTATTATTACAAATTACCATCTGCAGTGCAGTAGCTCAGTTCACAAGTACCAGTATATATAGTTAGTCAGGGTGAGAATCTTTCCAATTAACTGCTAGACTAAAAAATCTTCTCAAGATTCTCAGGATCATTGCCTTGCCCATCTTCTACATATAACTGTATGGCTTGACATTGTCATGTTTCTTAGCTCTTCTCCTTTCCCTCTCTTGATTAGTTAAGTCCTTGAGATTTTGCTTCCCTTTTACTTATGTTATATCTTTATATTTGTAGTTCTTCTTTTGAGTTCTTATACAAGGGAGACTTTACGTTATTTACACATGTGTGTCTAGTTTATTTCACTTATGAGTATATGTTTAAGTGGCATTCACTTCAATATAAAGGCTTGCAGTTTATCATTCTTAATAGCTGAATAATACTCCATTGTGTAAAAATACCCACATCTTTTTCAACCATTCCTCAGGTGATGGGCATCTTGGTTGTTTCCAAGATTTGGCTATCACAAATTGTGCTGCTATAAACACAGGCACACATATATCCCTATGATATGATGTTTTCAGATCCTCGGGGAAAAATCCCAGTAGAGGAATAGCTGGTTTAAAGGGGATTTCCAGACCAACTTTTCTAAGGAGTCTCCATACTGATTTCCATAAGAATTATACAGCTCTTGATGCCGATTTTTAAAACTATATTCTAATTTTTAAATGTTTTTTCATCGTATTCTATAGGGACTTAAAGTTCAATATATCAATACTTGATGAAAAATATGTGTTCCTTGTTATGCCCAAGATGTTTGATATTCAGACAGATCGTGAGGTTGAGCTTACTAACCTAGGTTGTATGGCAATAACCATAAACTTCTGTTCTGGACGGTTAACAACATAAGTTTACAGATCAAAATTAGAGAAAAGGGAGGGCCACAGCGAAAGCCAACATTTTGGCCACAGCCTTCCAAGGTCAATTAAAACTCAGGACATATGAGAACTTGTACTGTAACATCATGTAACTCGGTAGTGTCCCAAATTTTCTGATCAAGGAGATTATGGCCCCAAAGAGGAAAGTGATCGATGATGTACAATATGCACAAGTAGAGTCTCTTGTAGAGAAAATCTTTTCTCAGGCTTTCATAGAGAGCACATTGACCAAGCAATTGCTGTGACTCTTCCACATGGCTGACACTGACAAATGTTCTACAATCTGAGGTAGTGGATATCAGGATACATCTTGAGGGCATTTCACTGACCTTGTCAGACCCAAAAGCTACAACTCTTGTTGCCTAGGTCCTGCTTTACCTTGGTCTTAACCATCCAACAGAATAGTATAAAAAGGAAGTATAAGAAGTAAAGCCTTGGTGTAGTGGTGAACTGTAGGGGACCCAGGTCCACAATTTCTGACACTGCCAATGAAGCGGAAGACCCAGTACTATTATGGACTACTGAACTCTTTTAGAATATTTTGCTGAGTTAACACCTATAATATTCAAATTATATAACTTAACAAAAAAGGGATACAGATGAATGTCCATTTTGTATCTCTGTATTCAAAATGGTTAGGATAGACATATAGTTACATTCTCTTAATGAATAGAGGGATTTGTTCCAGTAGTGTTTATAAATAGGACATCATGTCCACATCTTGTACAGCAATTAACCACTAAGAAGAATGTATGAAATGTGTTAATTATTGCATCTGTTCTACCAATTTGGTTTGAAACTGTCTCATTTCTGTTTATTTCTCAATAAAATTATGGAAAAAAAGAAAAGAAAAGAGTAAACCCCAATGGCTAACATAATTCTAAATGGGGAAATCTAAAATCTTTACTCTTAGAGCTGGTAAAGCAAGGATGTCCTCTATCACTACTCCTACTGAGTATGGTTCTGGAACCATTGGCTAGAACCATTATGCAACAGAGATCAATAAAAAGAGTAAGAATAGGTAAAGAAGAAATGAAATTATCATTATTTTCAAATGACATAATACTTTATTTGGAAGACCCAAAACTCCACGAGGAAGCTAGCAGAATTAATACACAAATTCAGTACCATAGCAGGGTAGAAAGTCAATACCCAAAAGTGAATAGCATTTCTCCACATAGATAAGAAACATACAGGTAGGGAAATTTTAGAAACAATAGTTTTACAATAACACCAAGGAAAATGAAATAAGTTGGAATTCATCTGTTGGTGCTCACAAAGGAAGCTAGCAGTAAGGTAAATTCAAATACTTTTTTTTTTTTTGCAGTTTGCGTATGTTTATCTCACAGCTATTTAGTGATATTTCATGAGAGTCAGGCACTACATATGCAGATTTCTCTAGGAATAACGTTAAAAAAATAAAAATATTTCTATATTGGTAGTAATTTAAATGACTAAATATAAAAATTTCTATAAATGCATCATGAATAATTTCCATTTTTTGATTATAACATTCTTTCTATAAACACTTTACACTTGGATTATTTTCAATATGAACCTACTGCTTAAGTCACTAATGTTTAAGAATAAATTTATTATTTTCAACTATATTATGTCCATTTGAAATATTTGTGTTTTACATTTACAACTGTAACTTAATTTGAATTAATATGTGCTGTCTTAGGAAGATCACTATGTAATCGAGCTATATAGTGAGACCCTATAACAGTTAAATAAACAATTAAATATATATTTTTTAAAAAATAAAGACATTTTAATAATGTTGAGCTGTAAAAGGCTCAAGTCAACAACTTCTGATGTTGCTACTCTTACAGAAAACCCACTACTATTATGGACTACTGGAGTATATTGAATTATTTTGCTGAATTATTCAACTACAATATTTAAATGACAATGGAATACCCATTTCTGAAAAACTAAACAATAAAGGTATATAAATGAAGGACCACTTTATATCTGCATATACAAATAGTTAGAATCGATATACAACTACTTTGTCCTAATTCAATGAGAACAAAGATTTGTAGTAATAGTGTTTGGACAGGATATCATGTTTGCATCTTTTACTATGAATAACCACTACAAAGACAACAATATGCCATGTATTATTTATCGAAATTGTCCTAGTAATCCATTTTGAAACTGCTTCACTGGTTTTTGCTTTTCAATAAAATTAATTAAATAATTAGAATAGAAATAATCATCCGAGTTTTTCAAAAACATTCTGCTCTGTATATAGCTACATAGTGTTCTACTCAACAACAACAGAATGCGTAGTCTTTGAGCGCCATGTAAAGCTTTCTACCAAGTAGTCTACATACTAGTTAATAAACCAAGCTTAAGTGATTGAGGAAGATTTTAAAATATAACATGCATATCACCAGATGATATCACAGTGACAAAAGAAATCAGTGAGTAAAGAGAACACATAAATCATGACTATACATAGAAGTGAAATGATACACTTTTCAATGAACAATGAATTAAAGATGAAGTCAAGTAGTACATGGCAAACATTTTACAAGTATGTTATAATTCCAGTACACTATATCAATACTCATAGGACACAGTGAAAGCAGTCGTAAGAAAGAAATTTAGAGCTGTGAATTACCACATCATAAAAACTATCTAAGCCCAAATAAGAACATTAATGAAGCATTTCAAGGTCCTGGATAAAGAACAACATCCACAATCCAAACATAAGCTAATACATTGAAAGAATTGATGTTTCAAAAAGCATTCCTGCAGGCTGAAATGACCTTAATATGAAATGCATGAGAATATACATCTGGAAAAGAGATCTAAAGACCAACATCCTTAATGAACATGACTGCAAAAATCCCCAAAATATTGGCAAACTAGCAATCATTCACGAAAAATATAACCAAGTAGCATCCATTGCAGGGATGAAAGAATGAATGGTCAACACACTCAAGTCTGTAAGTGTATTACACAGTACAAAGAGAAGGAAACACAAAAATAAAGTAATCTTCCTAATAGATGCAAAAGTGCCTTTAAGAAATCCAACATGCTTTCATGACAATAGACATTGAAGAAAATATATATAGAAGGTAGCTGCAGACATGATCCTATACAAAGAATGCCCCAAAATTCCACCATAAGACTCTTAGAATTAATAAACAAACCAAATAACATAGCAGAATACAAAGATCAACACAAAAATTAATAGCGACAACAAAGAAACCACTTAAAAAGACATTAGGGGAAAAGTATCATTCACAATAGCAGTAAAAAATTAAATAAACAGGGAGTACCTAACAAAGAAAATGAAAGATGTATACAAAAAAGTACAGTATTCTTAAAAAGGAACTCAAAGAGGACATGAGCAAATGAGAAAACTTGCTGTTTAAAAGATATCATAACCATCATATTAAGAAAAAAGTTTATTAAAATGTAAAAACACTATGCATATGTACCAATTCCCCATAAGAAATGTGAACATTATGAGCTATACACATGTACTAACACTAAAATAAACTTTAAGATGGCAAAAATAATAAGTAATATATCTGCTAACAAAAATATGAGAAGATATAGTGAAATCTTGAAACTGAAATCCAAAAGCAAAAATAATGCACCTAGTGAAGAATTTAATAGGCATTTATCCAAAGAAAACATTATAATAACCAATGTTGTGTGGTATCATCAAATCAGGGAAGTGCAAATCAAAACCCCAGTGCTATACCATTTCAGACACGTTACCTTGATTGCAATCACTTCATGGGATCGCAAATGTTGGATGTGAGCTTATGGAGTCCTGGTTGGAAGAAAACTGTGCTACAGAAATTATTCAAAACATTTCATCAGTTATTTAGCACATAGTATTGTTTTATAACTCAGCAATACCATTCCTAACCAAATACCCAGAAACATTGAATCCAGGTGTTCAAAGAGGATATTGCCAGAAATTCCACATAATGGCATAATCCACCAGACAAAATGGGAAATCATCTGTAGTATCCATGAACTGGTGAATGAATAAGCAAAATCTGTTATGTCTATAAAATGGAATACTATTTGCTTAAAAAATGAATATTAGATCATATGTCATTGAAAATATGTCACAGAATGAAAGAATCCAACTTCAAAAGACTATATTTTATGATATTTATTTGAAGTGTGTAGAAAATATGTCTACAGAAATGAAACAAAGGAGTTCTTGCTTTTCCCAAGGGGATTAGAAACAAATAACAAGCAGCAACAAAGTTTCTGAGTTGATAATAATACTTTTCTTTGGTCAGCAATGATGCCAATACAATAACGTGTATTGTAAGTGGGTTACTTATGTGTCATGTCAAGTATTCCTAAATAAATCTGTTCTTTTTAGAAAAGGAAAAATACATAAAGAATATACTTACACCCTAAGAAAATCAATGGATTGAAAAAATCAAAATTTATGAGCGTCTTCGCTTTCTGTACGAAAGGATCTTGCGGGTTGTTGAGGGAGTCGATGTTTACTCCAAATGATGTGCCAGTGATAACATCCATGCTATAGGCCCCCAAGATCCTGTATAGATAAACAAATAGAAATAAATACTTGCAGTTTTTCACTACATCAGCCTCATAAACAGATGGCTGTGGGAATGAATCCACACCTGCCAAGAAAATCAGAGAACTACACTCTATCAAAATACCTGCTGTGTCATCTGATTACTCTATGCCACCTCTACACTCCATACAGTTATTAATGGGAAGTAGTGTGCCCTTTTTCTGGGGTGTTGAGAACACTAAGGTGCGTTAGACCTACACCTGCATGCATGTAGTGCAGTAAAAGTGACAAAAAATCACTCATAAAAATATGGGACATGTGTATAGAACATGAAGAACAGACATGTGAACACTATCAGCAGCACAAGGGGAAAATAATAACACTTCCTAAGTGAATAAAAAAGGGGGACATGGATCCAGATTTCTCCTTGATGTAAAAACTGCCACAAGTGCATTCCTCATCAGCACATCACACAACAGTAGCACAAGCTTCTGAGTTTCCAGTAATGGTGTCACCCTCCAAAGTTTCTTTCATGTTCTTGAAAGTACTGCACTTCTCCAAATTCAGGGATGTGACATTTCCCAAAGAGAAGAATTGTTCTGGTAGTATATGAAACTCAATAATAATCTTGGTTAAAAGATAATAAGTAAGTCCAACATTGCTTTGGGAGATACCAAGAGTTAAGCCTGCTAGGAAGTTGCAGTTTTCACTGCTCTTCCTTCATAGGTCAGTAAGACCCATATTTACACAATAAATGCTATTCTTGCCCTACAAGAAGAAGTACTGAGAAAGGATACTATTTAGTGTTTTTCAAATATCTTTAGAAAAATCATGAAGAGATTTGTCTCAGTTGCTATGCTCTCATTCCTGGGGCAAAATACACAGCCCCTAAAATTAAGGAAGGGAAGTTTTATTTAGCTCACAGTTAATGGAGGTTTTAGTCCATACTCGGTTGACCCCAAGGTAACTTGGCAGAGGGCAGGTGTTCATGGTGGTGAGAAAACAGCAAAGTGCAAATGGAGGGCAGTGGCAGAAGCAGCTAGCTAACTTCTTAACCCCTCCTTACATTTAATGCAGATCATCTACAGCAGGGCAAGAGTAGCACTCATACCCACAATCCCATAACTAGATCAAGAATTAATCACAAACTCTATAAGACTCTGCATGACTGCATGAGGCTTTTAGGGGACAGTCAGACACAAATTATAACAAGGCTTAACTTGTTCATGGTGTCACAGTGTATCTTTCCTATCCCATTCATTGCCTTTCTCTCTGTACCAAGTACTTTCTTCTCTTACTGTTCCCATCCTTTACACTCACACCTTTGTCAACATTGCATTTCTCCTTCCTAAACTATGCATTATGCTGTCTAGAATATATAAGGTGACAAATAAGCAGCTCAAATAAACATGGTTCCTCTTCACAATGAAGTAAAAACTTTCTACTCCAGGTGCTCTGAAGCCCAGAAGGTGTCCTGCAACTTACTCTTTCATGGATACTGGTGCACCTTTCTTTGCTTCTTGCTGCAGGTTTTTCAACAATACACCTGCATACCGTTCAATAATGGGGAACATCTAAGCAAAATAAACATTATCTTCAGTCAAATTCACCTGTTCAAATTCTAACATACAAGACATTCAGAGTCATGAACTTAAGTGTAGGATTTTATAACAAATTGCATAATGTCTCCAAAGTCATAAAGAAAAAAAGTCATTCTTATTAGCTCATATATAGAGGGTTACTCCATGAAAAGAGACAAAGATCTTTCTAATTTTCTACAAACTCATTCTTTAAATTTTCAATTAAAAAACCTTCTGTGTGCTTACTTCCTTCAATTTTCCACTGGTGAAAGTGGGTGATAGCAATGTCCGTATTCTCTTCCATTGTTCATCTTCAGCTGAAAAGACTGAGTTTCTCATCATGACAGATGGACGAATCCGCTAGGGTCCAAAGTCAAAGACATTTCATTGTAAAGAAGTATAGAAATATTGCACAGTTGTAGAACATTTGTTGAACATTAACCTCCTGTTCAGGAAATATTTAGTGTTTGTCTATCAAGTGGGATGCCCGAAGCCAGATGTTCAATAAATGTTTATAAATAAATACCTTGGTTCCTCTGAGTGTGTGTGGGACACCCAGCCATTTGATATGGCTTCAACCTTTGTATTCTGATCTCCATTTATATGGAAATGCATGTTTTTGCAATTAACATGAAAAGACAAGATAACCTTGTATGAGTAAAAGCTTAGAAGAAGGAACTTTATGCTAGAAGAACAGAACTGTAGTTTGAGTGTGCTCATGTTTGCATAACTATGCATCTGTGATGAATTTGCAAAGAGATACACATAGAGATGAACACACACATGCACACACACACTTGCAATCCTAAAGTGATTGCACAATTAAACTGAGGAAATGTCAATACATTATATGGTTTTCATCTATGTGTCAATCTCCTTTAATCATATTGACAAGAAAGTGTTACAAATATGCAAGCTGTTACCAATAGGAAAACCAGTATAAAGAAACTCCCAGTTCATTGTTTTATAACTTAAGAGAGGTCTTCATGTTGACAACATGAATGCCTACCCGGCGGTTGGTGAAGACAGAGTAAAATTCTTTGACAAATACAGTTTTGATCATATCTGGATCCATGATTAATAAAACTGGTTCTCTACCTTCATATAACCTGCATTGAGAAAGCAGAGCAGAATTGACATAATATGCAAGACTGTTCAACTTGCTCCCTCCCCAGGAATCTCTGGACTTTGATCCTTATGTAATAAGATGGACATGCCTTGAAAAACAATACACACCAATAATAATTTGTAAATACTGGCCCCCTGAACTCCTCACAGAACAAAGAACAGTGTAGCTCAGGTAAGGAATAGACATTAGGTTTTAAAATATCATAATTAGAAATGACTTTTGGAATATTGTGAAGTTCAGATGGAGTATACACAGTTATTATCAATATGAAACTTTTCTTATGTTTAAAATATTTAAGTGAAAAGGTACTGGGTGGAATTCAGTGATGGCATAGTATTTGAAATGCTCTGATTTCACTCTCCAAAAATGAGAAAAACTTCAATTTAAATTAAATTAGTTTGGTATTCCAAGTGATATTATGTCTTCACAATTCTGTATAATTTTCATAGTGTTTTTCTCTCTTTAAAATAAAAAATTAAATGAAAATTTCAAATTTTAGAGTGCCTATATGTATGAAAGGTCACATAGGCACGTGGAGTTGTGTCAGTGAATACCCAACATTGTAATGTATTGCCATCATGTCACAAGGGAATGATAGGCTGTGTGACATCAACAGAACCCTATGGCAAGTTCTAGGGATTCTTTTTTTAAAAATGAATTTTATTGAGAAACAAATAGCAATGAGACTGTTTCAAAACTGGTTAGCAGTATAGTTACAAGTTCTGAGAATTCTGAGGACCAATAAGCAAAGAAGAGTTAAGAAGACTCAAAGCTTTGTCCCATGTTCTTATACAACAAGGTCCATGATTGCACTTCTCTAAATCTCCAGAATCTCTGAAAGGAAAGAGTGGTTGCAAAGAAATCACACCTCACTCCAAAATCACTAAGGACACCATCCCACAGGGAAACACAGCGATTAAGCCAAGTCCTACATCTTGAACTCACAGCCAGAAGAATGAGGTAGAGAAGAAAATACCTGTATATTCACCTAGAGCCCCATAAAAATATTAGCTCAAAGTGTTCTCAACCTATTTAGACGGTGGACCTTAAGACTTGGTGATCTTTGTGATCCTTGGCAGGATAAGATTCCAAGATCCTTCCAATACACAGTTGTATCCAAACAGCTTACAGCAGATTTTGTCCTCATTGCCAGGGATACCCCCTCATAAGTTTACCCACCGGAAATTTCCTGAATACTCACCCCCACATTTTTCCATACTTTTTATGACACTCTATATCAAACATCCATGAACCCTGGGAAGAAAATGATACTATGATTTGATTGCTGTACAGAATGAACACGCTGCATGTCTAACTGTGGAATGACTGCATGGACACTAACTAATTCAGACTATCTCTCAAGGGTAGGTAAGGAAAGGGGCATTTAGAGACATCTAAATGGATGGTGAGGGGCCGGGGAGATGGCTCAGTAGAATAAGTGATTGCCTGGCAAGTTTAAAGGCCTGAGTTCAATTCCTGGTTCCACTAAAAATAAAAAAAAAATAAAATAAAATGGATGGTGAAATAGAGGTGATATATGATATGGAGAATTTAGAGTCACTATAGATTTTTCTTAAGTATAGTACATTTCAAAGGAATTATTCTTCTGTACTAAATTTAAGAAATTACCTGAGGAGGTTGTACTTGTGCATGTGTTGTTTTTGAAATTTTGGAGCTTTCAGGATGGGTAACATAGGTCTGTGATTCCAGTATTCAGGAGGCTAAGGTAGGAGGACTGTGTGAGTTTGAGACCATCTCACTACATAGTGAGAGCCTGTCTCAGAAAACCCAAAGATTAAAAACAAATACAATTATGTAGCTCTGAGTCATCCCTTCCATGGCCACAGAGGCACAGGGATTCAGTTTCTCTTGGATGTGCAGTCTTTTTTTCCTCCCTATTCTCCATCCTTTTTCTGGGTCTCATTAACTTTCTCTATGGTAGAATTAGGAAGCATTGCACTGATCTCTTCTCTCTCTCTCTCTTTTTTCTTTGCATTTTAGGGAAGGGTCTATAGGGTGTTCAGGGTCTCACTGCTAGATAGGACTTGTAGTGATACGTCTGTTTACAGCCTCCCAAGAGCTAGTGCACTGATCTCTTCTACTCTAGCAATGGCTGCTTTAATTTAGAACATTTATACAAGCCTGAATCATGTTGTCTATTGAGAAAATGAGTCAGTGCTCCACCTTATCACAGAAAGGACAGATGGCAATTCTTCACATAGCCATAGCAAATTAAATACTGTCAATAAGTTTGCACTTCAAATATTCAGGAAATATTCTTCCAGCTGGTAAGTGGCACCCATGAATTTAACAATGAAAAAGTTGTTGGCAGGAATGCTGACATGGGGGTGCCTCTGTTAAATAATGTAGGATTGATGAAGCCGAAGGTTGCATTTTTAGAGGGAAATGAGGTAGGAAATTCTGAGTCAGTAATTAGACAAAACAATTTTCATAAAATATTATTATGAAAATATGACCTGAGGTATGAACCCATAATCTAGGAAAAGGAAATATTGGCAAAGCACAGCTTGCACGTAGGTTTGCACATGGATAAGGAAAAATCTCCCTGGTGCCAGGGCAGGGGCCAGGTTCACTGTAGATCTGTATAAAGACCCATTCTCAGTTATGTCCATTCCCTGTCCAGACTCATACATACAGTACTGCTTCTGAAGAAAAAAAAATAAGGTAAAAGGATATCATTCTACACCTCAATTCCATGATCTATGTATAGGTAGAAAAAGGAGCATTAAAATCAAGAATTAACCTAAGGAAGTTGAGAAATTTCTGACAAAAATCAAATACTTGCAAATTTTCCAATGTTGAACAGCTGGATCATGTAAAAAGTTAAAACTGGACAACTATTCGTTAGAAAGAAAATGAAATACTACCCATGAATGCTGGCATGAATACAAAAAGTTGAATCTGTGGTGCAGATATTCATGGGCTACTGCAAGGCAACCCTTGGGTACATTTCTCCAAGTGCTCATAGATTACAGCTGAGCTTTCAAGGAGTATGCACTGGGAAAAAGGAAAAGTCCTTCAGTGTTCACGTTGCCTGAGTTCCAGGTCCTGAGCACTCCTTGCTGACCAGGAAGAGATTTTTGCTCTGTTACTAAGGAAAATCTCAGACTCCACAGATTTCAACACAGAGCTTTGGGGAAAACCTACCTGGGTTTGCCAGTGGAATTCACACAATTTCTATGGAAGGGGAAACTTTAAAATTTTCTTCCAAAGACCACTGTTATGGATCAAAATAAGCTAGTGTTTACAAATAGAAGAATAGAAAAAGAAATTGCACAAATGCAACTCACCTTCTTATAGGACAAAAGATTCCCAACAAAAGGCAGAGGTTTGGGACCAGAAATTCCCAGTTTTTTAAAATATCCATGTGTGTATGTACCGTAGCTGAAAAAAGGAAAAAGACATCCACATCTTGGGTTGGGGACTTGACATATATATGGGTATACTTGTCACAGACTTAGTAGCTTTAACAGCCAAGACATAAAGGTACCATGTATGTGACAACTAATATCAAACTTGCAAGAATATATTGTACATTCATTATCTCCTTTGCAACCTACACACACACACACACACACACGCACACACATACACACCCCTTGTAAAATTGACAAAATCTAGCCAGATCAGCTGGATTTATGCATTCAAGCCTACAGTCAATACTTTACAAACATGAATTTGAGCACTTCCACAAGAAGTTTTACAATATATTTCCTTTGTTGATATTAAGTGAGGAGGAAAATCACATTTCCACGAAGAAGGAATGTATACACACGCTGGGGGAAAAGAGTGAATTATTTTCTGTTTTAATACTAAATTTTCATGTAAATCTCTGTAATTTGAGATACAAGGTGAAGGAGATGGTGTAATATAGTTGTGTTTACAGATGGTTTAGATGATTTTATGTGTTTCTATACCCACAGACCAAGCTTTTACTTTAATATCTGGCCTTCTTAGCCAGGTTTCAGAGAACTCGGTGGCAGTCATAATGCTATTCTTTATCCAGAGTGACAGGTGACTTCCAGCCACCACTGGCCTCAAAAAAAAGTAAACAACTGAAAGACATCCAAGTCTTTGTTAGCAGAAGTCTTATGGATTTTAACTATAAGAAATTCTATGTTACCTGAAAGACATGACAGAGAAGAATGAAACACTAATGACTCAAACTAGAGGCTGTTTCTCTCTTCATTGAATCTCTGTCACCAGATGATGCAACTCATGAGGACAGAGACATGAAGGCTCACTTTTTATAAAGCTTGATCCAAAACTCATTAGCTTACTGATGGATTTTATCAAATGTCTCTATGCAAAGTCCAATGAACAGCTGAATTCTTGGACTACATATTCTGCTCTTCCATGTCAAGGAATTCACAGATAAAACTTCTGAGTCTTGCAAAGAATTTCTTTCAAGTGTATGTAACAGATGTCAGACAGTAGAAAGAAGAGATATTGAAAAAAGAAACACCTGGCTGTACAGGACACAAGGCATCAGCTATATTGCCTTAGAGCTGCTAGCCTTAGAAATTATCCCCAGAAGAACAGAAGAAAAATGAGTGGCTAGAAGCATTCTATGTATAAAATCTTCAATTTGCCCTAGATTTTTCAAGTACAGGAGAGGTGACCTTTTAAATTCCATGAAATTTCCTATTCACAGTGCTATTTGCATTATGCAACATACAATAAGTAATTGTTATATAATTAGGTTATTTAAAGATATACATATTTCCTCTCCTCTAGGGGCATGGTATGAAGGTAGTGTAATTATGAAATATACTTTACACACAATAAATTCTACAATTGTGGTAGAATAAAGCAAAATCTTTCATGAAAGGACAGTTGTGTGAAGGTTACCCAAGAGATACATCAACATTGCTGAAATGGCTATTAAAATCCTTCTCTAACACTTGTGTAGAGATTTAGTGCTCCATTTTGAAAACACAGCATATAAGATAGATTCTTCTGAGGACTGCTGTATGGAGCCATTGAGTTGTATCAAGAAGGCTAATTCCATGGGAGGGTCACAGATGCTGGAAAAAGTATACATGATGCTGAAGTGAGCTCTATATGAGTGTAAAATGGGGCCAGAATTTCCTACAAAATCTGGGCTGTATCAGGAAGTCTTATGTGGATTAGGGATGGAGGGGTAAAGGAAACACCCAGCTACAGGACACAAGACTTCCACCCATTTCTCACAAAAAGCTTAAAAATCAAGGCAGATTCTGGGTCATGTGCACATCAAACTGTGTGTCCTAGAATTTCTTGAGCTTTCAAATTAAGCCAGTTCACCCTTCACATAGTATCAGTGTTCTGTAAGGATCAGATGCATTATTTTAGGTTCAAATTGAAATCAATTGTATAGCCCTTAGAACAATCTTGTCCATCTTCTTGTAGACACTGAAATAGGGAAATGGGAGGAAGTCACTGAAAACATCAACATCAGGGTAATAAGAGATCAGAGAACAAGAGCATGGATAATTACTCACAGATACAGAAGCAGGAGACTGAGAGCCAGGAAAAACCAGGTTTCCTTGGAAAAGTTCCAGATCCAGTCCATTGATAATTTATTAAAAACTCCCCTTGAATTTTCAGACAGGTAATTGAAGACCTCCACCACTCACTCTAAATCAGTGAAGAAAACAGGAAAATATATGGTCTGGGAAAGGAGGTGGGATGAGACCTCCAGCCAGTAGGAGGGCCCCTTGTGGAATGCCTCATTTGGAGGAGTCAAGGTCCCATTCCAGTTTGGCAATGGATAGTCAAACAAGTACATCCAGTCTTTATCTTTTTTCCTTGTAGTATATGGAAAATCAATATAAAACACCATCGATCATCCAAGGTTCAGAGTATTCATTCTCATCGGAACTTCTAATGAACCTGAGGGAATTAAATATTTTCCAATATGCCCTTATCTCTCTTGCTATCCTCATTGTGAAATATTTACCTTTAGTCCTTAAAAAAAGCTTGTTCTCACTGAGATACCATCTCACCCCACAAAGAATAGCTATCATAAAGAAATCAACCAACAACAAATGTTGGAGAGGTTGTGGAGAAAAAGGAACCTTTCTCCACTGCTGGTGGAAATGTAGACTCTTGCAACCATTATGGAAAAAAGTGTGGAGACTCCTTAAAAAACAGGGACTGAAAAATCCCATTCAAACCAGCTATCCTCCTCCTGGGAATTTTCTGGGATGAACTGAAAATGTCATGTTTATAGTAGCACAAGTTGTGATAGCCAAATCTTGGAAACAACCAAGACGTCCTTCAACTGAGAAATGGATGTAAAATATGTGGTATTTTTATACAATGGACTATTACTCAGGTATAAAGAATGATAAACTTGAAGCCTTTATATTTAAGTGGATGCCACTTGAAGATATACTCATAAGTGAAATAAACCAGACCCACATGTGTAAATATCATATAGTCTCCCTAGTATAAGAGCTGAAAAGAAGAAATAAAAATAGAAAACTATAACGCAATTAAAAGGAAAATGAGAACTTGAGAATTAGACAATAAAGACAGGACAAAGAGAAAAGCTAGGACACACGACAGGGGCAAAGCCATACATTTATACATACAAGATGAGTAAGGCAATGATCCTAAGAACCTTCAGCAGGTTTTAACTAGCAGTTAAATGGTAGGATTCTCACCCTAACTGTATATGCTGATATGTGTAAACTAAGCAACTGCACTGTAAAGAGCAATGTGTAATAGTAGGGTCATACTTGGAATGTCTGTTATTTTGGACTTCTAAATATGTACTGCTTGTCATGACATACCAATATGCCAGACTGTGTCTTAAGTAAATGTTTGCTAAAAATGGGTAATAAACAAAAACAAGAGACAAAAAAAATTGACTGTCCTGTTACAATGCTCTATATGGTTAGATCTGTAAATTTCTGTGTAAAATATGTAATTGTTTATTCCTATTTATGAATTTTTTTCTTCTATTCTGTATGGACTTAAAGTTAAACACATCAATACTCGATGTAAAATACCTGTTCCATATTATGTCTATGATGTTTGATATTCAGAAAGATAGTGAAGTTAAGCTCAACTGCCTATGTTGTAGGCTAACAATAATAAGCTTCTCTTCTGGAGGATTAACAACCTAATTTTCAGACACAAAATTACAGAAAAAGAAAGACTGCAAGGACATCCAACATTTTTGTCCTAGCTTTTCAACTTCAGTGAAGAGTCAGGACATAGGAGAACCTATACTGTAACAACATGTAACTCAGCTGTGTCTCAAAGTTTCCGATCAAGGAGATTATGGGGCCACAGAGGAAAGTGCTTGATGATGTAGAGTGTGCCTAACAACAGTCACATGGAGAGAAAGCATGCTCTCAGGCTTTCAAAGAGACCAAATTGGTCAAGCAATGGCCATGACTCATTCACATGGCTGACAATGACATAGGATCTACAAACTGTGACACAGGGCTCCAGGATAAATCCTGAATGGACTTGACTGACCTCATCAGATACCTAAGCTACATTTCTTATTATATAGGTCTTGCTTTATCTTGTTTTCAACCATCCAGCAGAAAGTATAAAAACGAGGTATAAAAAGTAAAGCCATATTAATATGCTGAACTGTTTAAAGTGCAAGTCATCAATTCTAACATTGCCAGTCTACAGAAGACCCACTACTATCAAGGACTACTAGAGTATATTGGAGTATTTTGCTGAATTCACACACCTACAAAATTTAATGACAATTAAATACCCTTATCTGGCAAAACTAAACAAAAAAAGGGTAAAAATAAAGGATCACTTTGTATCTTTATATTCAAAATAGGAGAGATAAATAGCTACATTCTTTTAATTCAAAGAATAGATTTGTTTTAATAGTGTTTGTGGATAGGGTATCATGTCTGCATCTTGTACAATGAATAACCTCTGAGACAACAATGAAACTGTCTTACTAATTGATTTTGAAAATGTCTCATTGGTATTTGTTTCTCAATAAAATTATTTAAAAATGAGAAAGCTTGTTGTACAGAAATTTATCCATGTAATTCCTTTAGCCTCAAATCTCCTGAGCTCAATCCTAGACTCTCAGTCACACTTCTTTTTTGATCAAAATCAAATCTGGCAGTTTTCTTTCACCCCTGGATTACAAAAAATAAAATTGTTTCTTCCTCTGGCCAAATTCTATCTTCCTCACACTTTTGTTGTCTTTTCCACTTAATTCCCCTATTTCTTGTTTCTATTTACTTCATTTTTCTGCACAGGAAATTACCAATAAAACACAACAGCTATTCCTCACTGATATGTCCCTACTCCCTAGGAGAATACTCTATATAGATTAAGCAACCACAGAGTTTGGTTTGGTTGAGCTGGGTGAGTATCTCCATGTACTGTCTTTGTAAGCTTTGGGGGACAACAACATCTTCATGTATGGTTAAAACAACAGAGGATAGAACCTGCAAATCAGTCACCAACATGGCAAGTTCAAGCCAATAACATGTTAGCTTAGGGGATAAAGGAAATGGATGAGGTGGAGTTGAAATCTACACCAAGATATATCTTTCTTGTTTTTTTATATACTGGGTATTTTCTTTACTATTTTTTTCTTCCTTTTTTAATATTAATTTTATTGAGAAAGAAGTAGCAATGAGACAGTTTCAAAACAGGTTAGTAGGACATTTATAATGAATACATTGCATGTTATTGTCTTTGTAGTAGTTATAGTACAAGATGCAGACATGATATCTTGTTAAATTGCTTAGGATAGGCTAGAACTTTCTTTCTTTCTTTTTAAAATATATTTTTAAAATTAATTTTGTTGAGAAACAGATAGCAAGGAGACAGTTTCAAAACCAATTAATAGGACAATTTCTTTTTTTTAATAGGACAATTTCAATAATTAATACATTGCATATTGTTATTTTAGTGGTTATTCATAGTAAAGATGCAGACATGATATCGTGTCCAAATACTATTAGTACAAATCTTTCTTCTCATTAAATTAAGAGAAAGTAGCTCTATATTTATCCTATTTTCTATATACATAACATGGAACAGGTTTTTTTCATCTAGTATTGATATGTTAAACTTGAAGTATCTACAGAATATGTGGAAAAGTTAAAACAATAAAAATTTTCAAAATATGAATAAACAATTAAATATTTTTATACAGAAATTTAGAAATCTAACCATATACAACATTGTAGCAGGATATTCTTGTGATTCTTTTTTGTCTTTTTCATTTATTACCCTGTTTAAAATTAATTTTATTGAGAAAATGCAATGTGACAGCTTCAAAACATGTTGGTAGGAGAGGTACAACAATTAATACATTGCATATAGTTGTCTGTGCAGTAGTCATTCATAGCACAAGGTGCAGACATGATATCCTGTGCAAACACTATTAGTACAGATTTTTCTTCTTATTGAATTAAGAGAAAGTAGCTATATATCTATCATATTTTTGTATATATAAAATATAGAAAATTGTTGTTCATTTATATCACCTTTTTTGTTCAGTTTTTTTCAGAGATGGATATTCCTTTGCCATCCAAATATTGTAGGTGCATGAATTTAGCAAAATATACCAATATAGTTCAATACACCAAAATAGCAGTGGGTTATCTACAGGACTGGTAATGTCCAAATCTGATGACTTAAGCTTTTCACAGCTCAGCATATTAACATGGCTTCACTTTTCATACCACATTTCTACACTTTTCTGTTGGGTGGTTAAGACCAAGATAAAGCAAGACCTATATAACAAGAAATGTAGCTTTTGTATCTATAAGGTCAGTCAAGTACCCTCAGGATTTATCCTGTAACCTTGTACCGCAGTTTGCAGATCTTTTGTCAGTGTCAGCCATGTGGATGAGTCACAGTCATTGCTTGACCAATTTGCTGTCTGTGAAAGATGAGAGAATATTTTTTCTCCATGTGAGTCTCCTTAGACACACTGTATGTCATCGATCACATTGCTCTGTGGCTCCATAATCTTGAACAGAAAATTTGGGACAGAACTGAGTTACATGAAGTTACAGTGTAGGTTCTCCTATGTCTTGAGTCTTCACTGACCTTGAAAGTCTATGGTCAAAATGTTGGCTGTCCTTGCAGCCCTTCTATTTCTCTAATTTTTGGTCTGCAAACTTAGGTTGTTAACAGTCCAGAAGAGAAACTTATTATTACACTATATCTTATGCAGTTGGGTTTAACTTCACTATCTGTCTCAATATTAAACATGTTAGGCATAATATGGAACAGGTATTTTCCATCAAGTAATATGTGTAATTTTGTATATATCTCCATGTTGAAAAATGAATGAATGAGGTGAAACAGAGAGAACCTATTGAGAGCATGTCAGACATTAGATCAGGAGAAAAAAATAAAGATTATTGTATATAATTTTTTGGTGTCAATAATTTTATGAAGTTTTTTTGGAATATTTCTTTTTTGACTGTGTGGAATTTGTCCATTCTTCCATTCTTACTTTCTTTTATCTAATTTCTTACACTCTTTATTTTTTTCTTGTTTCTTACAATATTTTCTAAAAGAGAGAGACAGTGTATCAATACATAGTGTAGGTTGATGTTGAGCTTACTCTTCTGGTCAGGTACCAACTGAAGTCACAAAGATCATCCTCTCTTAGCTTCCCCAGTGCTAAGA